ATATTGTAATTTAAAAAATGTATAACTGATATTGTGTAACAGGAAGAAAAGGTCTAAAAGAGCAGGGGAATTGGGAGGGGTAGGGGAAGGGTAAAAGTGAAAGGAAAAAATATGAGAAGAGGAAAAAAAATGGAAACAAGGTCTTTGCAAATAGGGAAGGATGGAGGGGGTGAAGGAAGGGCAAGGGAAGGGGAAAAAAAATAAGAACCAAGAGACTCATGTAATTCTATGCGATCCCAGTGATGAATGTAACTGTATTTTATACCTAAAATGTACCAATAAAGTTAATGGGGAAAAAATATTTGCCGTAATTATAGTTGACATTATTCAGGATTGACTTACTGTACACCATTAAACTGTTTACATGAGTTTTCCTATGTAATATTCACAACTTTTCATATTAACTCTCATTTTGCAGATGAGAAATCTGGGGCGCAGAAGGAGGTTTGTCAAAGGTTGTCCATCTGTTAAGTAGTAAAACTGTACAAAAATAAGGGGGAAAAGGCTCCATTTTTGACAGGAAATTATTGTTGACAGTGTTATTTAGTAATATTGTGCGAAAATAATAGTATTTATTGAACATTTCTATGTGTCAGGCTCTGATCTGTCTTAATTTAATTTTCACAATGACTTAAGGTACATAATTATCCCTGTTTTATCAATGAGGAAACAGTTGCATAGAGGAGTTGAATTATGAAATGTACTGTAGAAATTAACATAGACTGGTTTTGGAGTTCCTCCTCTTAGGAGTCAACAAACTAGGGCTGGTGGGCCAAATCTAGCCTTCTTCCTCTTTTTTGCAAGTTAAATTTTATTGAAATACCACCATTGTTATTCCTTTATGTTAGAACCTATGGTTTCTTTCAGCAGAGCTGAGTAGTTGCAAGACCATAGGGCCTGAAAACCCTAAAATGTTTACTCCCTGGCCCTTCATAGAAAATGTTTTTCAGCACTTGATAACTATTCAAATGGGCAAAAAGTCAAATCTTGGTAAATTCAGGATTAATTTAGGAGTGAAAGTAATACAGGTAATACCGCATGACCTAGTTGTAGAAGTTTGCTAGTGAAGAAATAGCAGAATAGATTGGATTGTTACTTTCAGAAGAAATGTGGTAAAATGAACATTTTTTTCACATAGGAAAGATTTGAGTATAAAGAACAAAATTAATTGGATGGAAGATATAGTGAAGGCTGGAGGTAGGAATAATGATAGTATAGAGTTCTTGGAGAATATAGGAGAGAGTGGGAAGAGTTATTGGAAAGGAGCCAGCCTTTTCTTTGAAACACCAAGCAGTAACAAGAAGAGATATTAGAAATATAGGGGTATTTTAAGTTGGAGGCAAAAATAATAATAGGAATTTTCATTCGGTAGCTGCAAGCTCATTAAGTAGATAAGGAGAATAGTTCAAATAGCTATCTTTTCAGCACTTAGAATTATTGTAATTATTATTTTTAATAGTCACGTTTAATGCCATGTTTAATGCCGTAAAGTATACTTTACAGGAAGAAATAATTAAGGAATTTGGGTTAGTGTTATAAAGGTATTTTCTTTAAAGTCTAACTGATTACAGTTAAGAAATATGATTAAGGTTTACATTTTGATGCTATTATGTACATATCATAATTTTAAGTACTTTCCCACAAAAAGTTAAAAACAGCTTAGCTGGGGTATAATTGATATGCAGTAAACTGTTCATATTTAAAGGATACAAATTAATAAATTCTTACATATACATATTCCTGTGAAACCATCATCATCAAGATAATGTTTGTTCGATTACAATCCCTCCCTTTACCTCACTTCCACCTGCCCTTTCACAAATCCTGATATGTTGTGTTTTCCTTTTCATTCTGTTAAAAATACTGTTTTTTTTTTCTCTTTTCTTTTTCTTTGACCCATGGGTTTTTTACAGGGTGTTAGTTTCCAAATATTTGGGCATTTTTCAGAAATCTTTAATACTTATTTTGGTCTTGCCTAACTTAAATACTTTTAAACTCATTGATACTTGTTTTATGACCCATAATGTGTTGGTAAATATTTGAAAAGAACATGTTTTGCTGTTACTGGATAGAATGTTCTGTACATGTCTTGTCAAGGTAGTTGATAGTATTGTTCAAAACTTTCCTATCCTTATTTTCTGTGTTCTGTCTGTTATTGAGTGGGTTATTGAAATTTCTAGCTATCACTGAATTCCTTGCTATCACAGTTTCTTGTTGCAGTTCTATCAATTTTTGCTTTGTGCATTTTGAAGCTCTGCTTTTTAGATGCATAAATGTATAGCCTTGTTATGTCCTTTTGAAGAATTGACTGCTTAATAAGCATAAAATAACTTTTTTATCTCTAGTGGTCTTTTGCTTGAGAATCTACTTTGATACTAAGCAGTAAGCTGGCACATTTGTAAGCTTACTATGTTTTATTTCTTATCTGTCAGGGATTACTGTCCTTTGTTGCCTGGTAATCCAGTGTCTTAAAAATTGTTTCTTAAATTTTGCCCAAGTTTTGCTTTTGTTTTTAGTTGTTTCAGGCAGAACTACTATAACCTGTTTCTCCATCTTGGACAGAACAGAAGTCTGTTTTTTAAAGTATTTACAGTGATTCCTAAGTTTTTCTTTTTGTTTGTATTAGAAGTATTTATTAGAGATTTGTATTAGGGAGTCTAATGACAAGTATGGACTTTAGTCCCCCAGATCTGTGAAAGCTTATAAATGTAAAGTGTTGGCTTATTTCACAGAGTTTATAGGCTTGAGGTTTAATTCATTCCTACCTAGAAGGTCTTACTTTCCAACCCTATTTGCATATTAGAATCAACTAGGAGAGTTTTGCTATGGATCTATGCTTTGCTATAGACATATGAAATCTAAATCTTTGGTGATGGGGTCAACTTTGTTTTCAAAAATTCTATCCATGATTAAAAACAACTGGTATAGCAGAAGATACCTCTCACATGCCCTTTTGGCTTCTCTTCCTGCCCTTTTTGGCAAGGATACTAAAAAGACTACAGGGCAGGGAACCAGCATGGTGAACTTAAAAAAAGACCAGTTCTGCCTTCAAACTTTGTTTTGATAAATTGCATTTGGGCTTTTAACAAGAGTGCATCCAGAAGTTAAGAAACCTTTTTCAAGTTGTGTTTCAGTTTGCATTAACAAAATGCAGCCTGTCACTTTATTTTTGTTGTAAATAAAAGGCAACTATATGACATTTAATATGGACCTCAAAGCCTAAGAGCCTGTTAAAAGTACTAAGACTGTAGAAAAATAGGAATTTAAACTTTATAAGGGAGTGAGTTTTTAAAAATATAATATGCTGCAGTACAGGTTTTATGATATGTCAGATGTATATATGACTTCAATTATAGGTAGTTTATAGTACATATATATATACTTCAGTGAGCCACAGTGTAGTTAGTTATTTTTTAAAATGCCAAGTACCTGGCCGGGGATTTAGCTCAGTGGTTCTGCTGCCTACCTTGAAAGTGCAAGATCCCGAGATCGATTGCCAGTACCAAAAAAAAAAAAAAAAAAAATGCCAAGAAGCCAGGTATGGTAGCAGACACCTATAATCCCAGCACACTTCGGGGCTGAGACAGGAGAATTACAAATTCACACCTAGCCTGGGCAACTTTGCAAGACCCTGCTTCAAAATAAAGAATAAAAAGGGGTGGAGAGTTTCTCAGTTTCTTGATTCAATCCTCAGTACCAGCGAAAACAAAACAAAACAGCCAGCCAGAAAACAGTAAGAAAAAAATAGCACAGAGCACTCTTTATAAAGAGGTCTGCTGTAACATGGACTCTTGTGACTCCAAGACTGATTTCACATTAATTCACTTTTCAGATATGTAAAGTTATACAGTGTATATAGTAGTCAGTTTAGAATGCCAGCAACTTTATGCAAACTGATTCTTTTGTATGCTTTTCTTAATGATGGACTTGAAAATTCTGTCCATTTTGTATATTAGGCTTTTCAGTATCCCACTCTTTTAATGGTGAACTTTTAAAAGATTAAATTGTTTTGTATAAATCTTCTTTTCACATATTTTTTCCTTCACTTATTATAACTAACCTTTCTCCATAGCTGTGGACTTTACAGAAATTAATGAAGAAAACAAAAACGATCTATTCCGAGAAGTGTCTTCTTCCACTGAAAATTTGGCATTTACCTTTGGAAATACGTAAGTGGAGGACTGTCATTTAAATAAATGGACCTAAGATGTTTTAGAGTATATTGCATAATCCAGTAATATATATAAAAAATAACATATTAACTAGAATAATATATTACCATGATTTTGCAAAAGCTGCATTCTGTGTTACCTTATTACTATATTTGCAGGTGTCTTTATGGCCAGATATTTAAAGCAACATTCATTTTCAAGTGATTATTTTTGTGGTTTATGTGAATGGATTCCTAAGAGTTTTTTTCTAGATGATAAATTGAATGTAAAGCTTGTGACAAGTGTAGTGATTTGTCTTTTTATTTTTATTTCTTCTTTTAACCTCCCTGGATAGCCTTACAAACCTTTTTATGGGCGATTTAAGCAATGATTCATCATTCCGACTGCCTGTTTCTCAGGATAAGGTAGGCTAAGTTTGTGTGACAGCAAAGCTTTTGATACTTTTAATATTTCAATTGTTTCCTAATTTTAATCTCAGCACTACTTTTTGATAGTTTTTAAGTTGACAAATTACCACATGCTGAGAAAAATAGACCAATTCATTTTAATATGATAATATGATTACTTTGTGGAGCAATAATTTGATTATGCTTTATAAGTAGGACTGTATTGTTAAAAGAACATGTCTAACAGTTCTGTAGCATTTTATGTAATCAATCATATATTGTAAGGTCCAAAATTTTAGTAAGGAATTCTTAATCATTTTCCCCTATAGACATTGTCACAGATCTTAAACATTGGTGAAACTTAGAAAAATATGCAAAAAGTAAAGAGGATATTAAACTTCTCACAGCTCCTACAATTTGTGTTTGTTACTGTGAAACATTTGTTAACATCCCTGTAGGTCTAAATTGTCCCTAAGAGCATCCTAATAAATATGTCACAGGTTAGGGATTTCTCATTGGCAGAACAATTGCTTTAAAATAATAGAACATGAGGAATGTGTGGAGGGTACTGCTGTAAAGATTTACAATAGTAGTATTTTCAGTTGACTACATTTTTTTCACTGAATACAAGATATTTAAATAAGCTGCATCATGGAATATCAGATCCAAAAAAGGTTTCAACAAATATCTAGAAAAATGTCATGAACTTACATTATGTCAAAATAATATAAAAACTTTACATTTTTCTTAAAATGGTAAAAAATATGAATGGCTACTTAAGCCATTTGTTAAATGCACTATAATACTACAAAAAAAATAAGGACTGTTTCTATAGCCATCCATTGAGGAATGAAGGAGGATGAGGAAGACTTAAAATCTTTAAATATTTTACTGTTATTCATGATTCTTCCTCAATTTTACCTTTTCAAACTGGTGCTGATACTTCAGAAGATAAGACATTTTATGTGTTGCAAGACTCTGAACAACTTAAATTGTAGGTGTGAACCATTTTTCTATTCATATGCCTCTGTTATCCACAGATATACTCATTCTTTTTTTTTTTTTTGGTATAGGGGATTGAACTCAGGACCTTGTGCTTGCAAGGCAGGCTCGGTGCTACTAAGCTAAATCCCCGGCCCCATACTGATTCCTAATAGAAAATGCTTTATTCTTTTGCACCTTATTTTCCTTTTTTGAGGTTTTAATTTAATTTTTTAGTTAAGAGTCCTGAAAAATATCCTTTACAAATAGTAGCTGCACTGTAATAGTGCTTACTATGTACCCTGCACTTTGCTAATCCTACATTATCTTAATCCTTAAAACATATTCGTGAATATAGTGTTCTCTATCCCCTTTTCACAGAAGGGCAAACTAAAGTTAGATGAGCTTAAACATGTAGCTTAATGTCATACAGTTAATACTAGAGCTAGTGGCAAAAAAACAAAACAAAACAAAACAGAGCTAGACTTCAGACTAGGTCTTTGATTCCTTTTTTGTTGAATCCCTGCATACTATTTATTGCCCAACCAAGCAGATCAAATTTAAGATCTAACAAATGTCGCAGATGAAGTTTTCTAGCACCACCTAATAAGGTAGCTACTAGTCCCATGTACTTTTTATATCTAAATTAATTGATAATTAAATAAAATTTAAAATTCACTTTGTAGTCACACTGGCTTCTTTTTAAATGCTCAAGTAGTTAACATGTAGCTAGTAGCTACCGTATAGGGTAGTACATATATAAGGCATTTGCATCATCACAGAAAGTTCTGTACTAAACCATCCAAAAAATTTTCAAAGACACATTTGTTATATAATAAAATGGTAAGATAGATTGATATCATCTATTTATGTAGCAGTATATTTTGATTGTGTCTTTAACTTACCAATATTTTGGGGATTTGCAGAAAGTTTTGCATTAACTAATGCTGTCCGTAAATAATGAGGCTGTTCATTTTTGGATCTTGTGAGCTGCGGTGATGAAGAGCCATATAATTTTTTTAACTGTTCTGATATTTATTTATTTATTTATTTTGACAAATCAGACTTTGTTTATTAAAAAAATACTTTACAGACAAAAAAGAACTATGCATTCCATTGTCCTGTTTTACAAAGAAATAGCCTAACAATTTAACACTTAGCTACAAAAAAGCACTGTGTTAAAAGGATTATTATTCACACAAATTTGGATTTAAGACTGTTCATTAAAAACCTTTTTAAAAACACTTGCTAATGTCAATAAACAAACTAAGGCCACACAATGCAAATAGTCTTCCAGGCAAATTATATATTTCATCTATATCCAGAGACCTCTTAGGTAAATTAAACTGATATTTAAACAGACTTCTTGGGCCCTTTGAGTTTTAAATTTGAAATTCTTTAGCAGAGTAACAAATTAAAGTGAAAAATTTCTGACAGAGATTTGTTGTCTTCTCTCTATTCTTAAATTTGTTTTCTTTCTTGTTAAGTCTTTTGAAAACATTTCTGTGGACTCAGTGGACTCATCCAATGAAAAAGGTAATGCTCAGGATACTTACAACTTTTGTCAAACATTTTGCAGTTTTTTTCAAAAATGTTTTAGATTATTTAATCTCTTTTTGCTTGGTAATCTACTGTATTCATATTAAATGCAAAATATATATAGCTCAAGTGGGAAAAACCCCACAGGATAGGTAGATAATGTGATTATGTAGATTGATTTAAAAATTATATAAGGCTTGTAACTAATGAATAATAGAAATATAAATTAAGGTTAAAATGCATTCTGATTTGAAACAATTTAACGTTTAAACTCATTATGAACTTGTCACTTAAATTTTCGAAAACTAGTTTTTATAGAAAAACATCTAGGGATCTTAGTACTTTTTTGTTTAGAATTACTGTGTGACCATCTTTAACATATACTGCACTGACATTTTTGTTTTCAGGAAATTTTTCTCCTATTGAACTAGACAATTTGTTGTTAAAGAACGCTGACTCTGTAAAACTGGCTTTGTCATATGCTAAAACATGGTCAGAATATACCAAGAACATAGTGTCATGGATTGAAAAAAAGCTTAACTTGGGTAAGTTGTTCTTTGGAGCATCTGATTAACTCTGGAGTATAAGAAGTAAATTGTTTTTGATTCATTTTCTACAGAGTATTATGATTCCAAGTTAGTAATTGTTTCATTGTAATAAGTCATTATTACATTATTCTCTTCTTGAAATAGAAAGAGATTTTCTTAGATATAGTTAATGAATATTTACTATGGGCCAGCCACTAGACCTAGGAACAAAAAAACCAAGTAGAATACTATCTCCACCTTTAAAACTCATACTTTAATGCAACGAGTTAATATATATAGTAAAAGGACATAAAAGCACCAGTGAATATATAACAGAAGTCAGTGGAATGATAGAAAAAACATTCGGTAGTTAATTTACCCTAGTATTTTACAGTTTAAAAAATGTTTTCATATCCATTATTTCAATTAATTCTGCAGACCTCTGAGAAGAAGGCAAGAAAAGAATTATGTCCATTTTGCAAATGAGACAAGTAATTTTCCTAAGGTCATATAGAAGATTTGCTTAAGGTCAGATAGCATAACTGGAAGAAAACAGAATCTACCAAAGCTTGTGTTCTTTCTACTGCATTGTTTTTTATAGGGAATGCTAATCAGAATCACCTGAATAAACTTAAAGGGACAGTGTACAGGCCTAGGTTCCATTCCTTAGAGAGGTAGGGTCTAGGCAAGTGTATTTTTGAAAACTTTGCAAGTTGATTCTGATGAGTATGTATGATTGAGAATGAGTGTGTTATATCATGATGCATACTAGTATATGCCATATGGTCATTTTTTAAAATTGAAGAATTACAAATAACTTTAGAGTATGGATGGGAAAAATAAGTTTGCCTTCTCATATCTTGTCAATCTTTTCAGAATTGGAGTCCACTAGAAATAATGTGAAGTTGGCAGAGGCAACTAGAGCTAACATTGGACTACAAGTAAGTGCTCTGTGAATTTCTATAATTTGATAACAGACTACTCAGATGAGCTCCCAAATAGTGCTTTGCAAAATCCGGAAATCTCAGTTAATAGAGCAAAGAGTTTCATTGCTTGTCTTTTTATTTTTAAAAAAACAATTAAATCTAAATGGCTGTCTCATTTAGTCACATTTATAACTAGTCATTTTTCTAGGGAAAAGTAAAAAATTTCTCTTTTTGAGGAAGAGTAATGGTGAGTCTGGAGCTCTAGTGACATTTGTATTGTAAAATTTATTTTTCAATTTTAAATTGTAGGAGTTTATGCCACTGCAGTCTCTATTTACCAGTGCTCTTCTTAATGACATAGAGAGCAGTCAACTTATACAACAAACAATTGCAGCTCTGCAAGCCAACAAATTTGTTCAGGTAACAATTAATCTATATGTATATTATACATATTTTTAACAGCGATATACCATAAACAGCTTTTTTCCTTCTTTTTAAAAAATACCCTTGACAGCCTCTACTTGGGAGAAAAAATGAAATGGAAAAACAAAGGAAAGAAATAAAAGAACTTTGGAAACAAGAACAAAATAAAATGGTTAGTATTATAATGGAGCATCATGTACCTATTCGTGGACATCTAAAATTATCTTTAGTGGATAACTGCCTACCTTTGTAGATGGGTAATATTGCTTTACCCATCTTCATGAATATGCTAAAGAAACCTGTATGGTAAAGTTTTTCATATTTAGTGTTTAATATTCTTTTCTGTGTAGCTTGAAACAGAAACTGCTCTTAAAAAGGCAAAATTGTTATGCATGCAACGTCAAGATGAATATGAAAAGGCAAAATCTTCCATGTTTCGTGCAGAAGAGGAGCATATGTGTTCCAGTAGTGGATTAGTAAAAAATCTCAACAAGCAACTAGAAAAAAAACGAAGATTAGAAGAGGAGGCTCTTCAGAAAGTAATAATTTTTGTTATTTGAAAGTTAAGGGTTTGGTTCTCACACTTCCTCATGTGTTAGGATTCCCTGGAAGACAGGTTCTGATTCAGTGGGGCGGGGCAGGATTAGATGCCTTGCATCTCCCAGCACATTCCAAGGTTCGTGCTGTAGTTACTTCTACTAGGAGGGAGCCACACTTTGAGAACTATTGCTCTCAGCAGCTTAAGAATTTGGAGTTTTGTTTGTGAAAGAAGCATTTTACAGAGGGAAGTAATTTAATATTTTTACTTGATTATTCAGAAACTTTACTTTTTGGGTAAGTGTAAGGATTATATACCTGCTAGCAAGCATGGGCTGAAGCTTTGTATTACCTATGGAGCATATTTACTGAATTCTTAATAGAAAATGCTATTATAAATAGAAATGAATTATTTTATAGACAAACAATATACAAAGTGTAAATTATACTTGACTGTGCATTAAACTGCCTTTGAATCACCAACCAAAGCAGATTACTTTTTGTTTTCTTTAGAAATATTTTATTCAAAATAATTTCAGTTTTCATAAATCGAGGCTTTTCAGCTATTTTAACTTAGTTACAATAAGTATTTGTTTTTCAAATGTGAATTCTAGTAATCAGTGTTGTTTTTTTTCTATATTCCTTGAAGGTGGAAGAAGCAAATGAACTCTACAAAGTTTGTGTAACAAATGTTGAAGAAAGGCGAAATGATCTAGAAAATACCAAAAGAGAAATTTTAACACAACTTCGTACACTTGTTTTCCAGTGTGATCTTACCCTTAAAGCTGTAAGTAATTTCTTTAGTATTGTGAAGGCAAGAAGGAAAAAAAATAGCTGGGTATGGTAGAACACACCTGTAATTGTAGCACTCGGAAGGCTGAGTCAGGAGGATTGCTGTTTGTTCAAGAGCAGCCTGGGATACATAGTGAGTTCAGAGCCAACCTGCCCTGCAAAGCGAGACCCTGTTTCAAAAACTAGAAAAAAAAGAATAGGCTTACTGTCTGCAGAAAGGGATACCTGAAGAGTAACAAGTCTTAAAGAGATTTAAATTCTAAGATTAATAGGACATGTTTGAAAATTAACTTCCAGTGTTTAGTAGCAATACATAGTTTGAGTTATTTTTTTATTTGTCTCCCCTTGAAGTGTGAGAATTTGAAATTGCTTTTAAACCATTGTTTTCCTTGCCTTGGTTGATACAATTGATTTGGCCCCTGGAACTTCTGTCAGTACTGTGAAGTTAATTCTTCAAAATTTGAAAAACTAAATATTAAATTGAAGTCAATGATTTATTTGAAGACAAAGTATTCTGGGCCCAGGATTTAGCTCAGTGGCTCCACTCCCGCCGCATAAGCACAGAGACCTGAGTTCGATCCTCGGTACCAGAAAAAAAAGCATTCTGCCTTCATGTGTTTTCATTTACCTCTTTAAAACATTTTTTGCAAAGAATTTAAATTTAAAAAACTTGGTTTACAGTTCACAAGTTTTACAGCATGCACAGCTTTGTGAAACCTCTACCACAATCAAGATTCAGAACAGTTCTATCACTTGAAAACATTATTTCTTGCTACCTCATTGCAGTCAAACTCTATTTCCCCTAACCACTAGCAAGTACTGATACAGTCTCTGTCTTGCTAATTTGATCATTTCCACAGTAACATATAAATAGAATCATAGGGCCGGGATTTAGCTCAGTGGCACCATGCCTGTCTCGCAAGCTCAAAGTCCTGAGTTTGATCCCTGGTACCAGAAATAAATAAATAAATAAATAAATGGAATCATATAGTATGTTACCTTTTGAGACAGACTTCTATACAGCCTAATGCCTTTGAGAGTTACCTATTATGCATGTATCAATAGTCCATTCCTCTATATTGCTGAGTAGTAGTCCATTATATGACTACCACATTGTTTATCCTTCTACCATTGGTCATTTGTGTTGTTTACAGTTTGGGGTAACTATGAATAGAACTACAATAATATTTATTTGCACATTTTTGTTGAACATAAGTTTTCATGTTTTAGAATATATACTCCCAAGTGTGATTACTGGTTGGTATCCTAAATGCATGTTTAACTTAAAATGCTAAAATGTTTTCCAGTGTGGCTATAATCATCAGTGTATGAGAATTCCAATTGTTCTCTGTCCTTGACTTTTGTCACTTGTTGTCCTTGAATTTCAGCTGTGGTTTAGCTGTGGTTTTATTTTGTGTTTCCAGAATGACTAATGATAATTGATAATCTTTTCAGGGGTTAATTGATAGTCTGTATTTTGGCTGTTACATTTTTATTTTTGTTGAGTTTTTTTTATTGTTGGTCTTGCATATGTTTTCTCTCACTCCAAAGCTTTTCTTTTTATATTTTTAACAATGTCTTTCAGAGAGCAGATGGTTTTGTTTTCGATGAACTCTAGCTTATTGGTTTCTTCTTTTATGGGTTCCACTTTTGATGTTACATCTAAGGGTACTTTACCTAATCCAAGGTCACAAAGTTTTCTAAGAACTGTACACTTTCACATTTAGATATATGATCCATTTTGGGTTTTTATGTGAGGGTCGTATTGGGGCTCACTTTTAGCATATAGCTGTTATGTTAAAATTATACTTATAAGATTTTAATTTATGATTTTATTAATGACTGAGTACCAAAACAGAGAAGTCAGTGCCATTGAGAGGAATTATTACTTACATTTCCTGAGAGAAGGGGAAATGTCATACCACACAAGGCCATAAAGGAAAATACCAGATTTAGCCACAGAAGGAGTGAGAGTCCAGAAACTTCATTGAGATTTTTCAAGAAAGGCAAAGTAGGTGAGGTAACAATTTAGGATTGGGTAGTTTGAATAATTCTGTTGGGCTTTGGGACATAGGGATGGTTTCTAGCTGCTTGGTGCCTGCTCCTGGCATGATATAGGGCAGTAGAAATAGTTGGCTTGGTACAAGTTAGATATGGAATTGGCTTGGACTATAGACTTGAACTAGTTGATTTGCATATGAAAGATACCCTTGGGTATCTAAGAATTGGCTATCCCAAAAATGGGCAGTCTCTCTAGCTAGCATAATCTTTTTAGGATGTCAAAGTATCATAAACTACAAAAAATAAAAATAATTTTTAATATACATAACCACTTGTTCCCATTCCATTAGTTGAAAGTACTATGCCATTTACATTAAATTGACTTTGCAGTTTTTCAAAAGTCTATTGACCATATTTGTGTTTTATCTTTCTGGATTTTCTACTTTATTCCATTAATATATTTGTTGATCTTTTTGCCTAAGTATTACTGTCTTGATTCTATTGCTTTATACCAAGCCAGTGTGAGTCTTCCAACTTTATTCTTTTTCAGAATTGTGTTTAAAATCTTTCAACTTTCAAAAAAAGAATTAGCTTGTCTATATTTAGGAAAAAAATCTTGCTAACACTTTAATTGGAATTGCATTAAAGCTTAGATCACATTGTGGAGAACTGATTCTATATGTAGCATTTTACCTATATGGTTTTTTATGTCTCTGTTTAGATCTTTGATTTTTTTAAAATCAGCATTTTGTTGTTCTTAACATAAATCTTTCAAAAATTTTGTCAAATTTAAATCTGTGTGTTTATTTTGAAGGCTATTGTGAATGATCTGTATATACATACACACAAATTGTATATGCATAAGTAGATTTAATTTCCAATTCTAGTTCTGTAATATTTTAAAACAATTTTTATATCTTGATCTTGTGTTGTGCAACCTTACTAAACTCATTAACTTGTTTTAGGGGCTTTTGTAGATTCCTTAGAGCTTTCTACATAGAAAATCATGTTATCTCCAAATAGTGACAGTTTTATATCTTCCTTTTCAATCTGTATTCCCTCCTTCCCTTTCTCCTATGCTTTGCTCTGCCCTCTCCTCTCTTCTCCCCAGCCCCCTTCCTCCCTCCCATCCCCTCCCTTCCCCTCTCCTAGCACAACACAGAATAAGAATGGTGAGAAAAAAATCCTTGCCTTTTCTCCATCTTAGGGGGAAGGAATTCAGTCTTTCATCATTAAATGATAGCTATATCTTTGAAGATGCCTTTTATCTTGTTAAGGAATTTCATTTTTTCCTAGTTTTCTGTGATTTTTATCATGAATAACTGTTGGATTTTATCAAATGGTTTTCTACATCATTTGATGTGATAATATAGTTTATCTTCTTTGGCCTGTTAATATAGTGAATTATATTGATATCTGAGTGCTGATCTAGTCTTAGATTCCTAGGATAAGCCCCTCTTGATTGTGATGCATTGTCTCTTTTATATATTGCTGGGTTCAGTTTGCTAGTATTATTTCTGATGCTGATAATTTGTGTACATTCCCTTCCCTCTCTCCCTCTCATTAATCTGGTAAGAAGTTTATAAATTTTATTGGTCTTGATTTTTCTTCTTTTAGTTTTATTGATTTCTGCTTTTTATTCTTTATTTCTGCTTGTTTTGTGTTTACTTTATCATTTTTTTAATGTTTCTTAAAAGCAGAAGTTTGTATTATTTATTGAGACTTTCTTGCTTTTCTGATACAAATAGTTAATGCTTTTATTGCTAACCTATATCCCATAAATTTTGAATTGTGTTTTCATTTTGTTTAGTTCAAAATATTTTCCCTTGAAATTTTGTCTTTGACCTGTGGATAATGCAGAAATTTATGTAATTTTCCAAATATTTGAGAATTTTCTAGATATTTTTCCTGATGCTGATTTCTAGTTTAACACCATTATTATGGGGAGTACTTTATATGATTTCAGTTCTCTTAAATTTGTCGTGGTTTGTTTTACAACCATGATTGAATCAAAAACAGAGTAAAAAGTAGAAATCAATAAAATTGACAAAAGTTAAAAGAAAGATCAGTGAAACTAAAAACTTTCTTTGAAATGATTGATTATGAATGTTCCATGTATACCCTTGAGTATGTATTCTGTTCTTCACTAGAGAGTTGTGTAATTGTTGGGTTACAATGTAATTTATTTCTTCTATATTCTTGACTACTTACTTTTAACTATCCCTGTCACTTATTCAGAAAGGTGTTTTGAAATCTCCAACGTATTATGTATTTTCAATTCCATCAAGTTTTGCTTTATGTCTTTTGAATTCTCTTGTTAGTTGCTTCCAGATCAACAGATTATTATATGATCTTGGTCAATTGATCCTTTATCCTTATGTCTCTTTCTATCCAAATGTCCTTGTTTTAGTTTATTTAATATCAATATGAGTGCTTCAGTTTTCCTTTAATTGTTTTGAGAATGATACGTCTTTTTTCCCTTCTTTATTTTTAACTTTATAATTAGGGCAGTTTTCATGTATAGCTTATAGATAGCGTATACTCAAGTTTTGACCTTTTTTTTGAGACAGGGTCTCAACAGTGTAATTCAGGCTGGTCTTGATCTCACTATGTCCAGGCTGGCCTCAAACTTGGGGTGATCTTCCTGCCTCAGCCTCCTAAGTGCTAGGATCACAGGTGTGTGCTATCACACCATGCTTAGTTTTGACTTTAAAATTTTTATTAAAATAAATAAATAAATAAAAATTTTATTTTGACAATCTGTCTTTTAACTGAAGTGCTTAGACCATTTATACTTAATATTACTGTGCAACCAGATAGAGGTCTCCTGTTTCCTATTTATAGCTTATGTTTTTCTTTTATCTATTTCTCTTTTGCTGCCTTATTTGGTTGATAATACTCTAGAGTTAGATTTTATCTATCTGTTATTTGATTGACTGTAATCCATATGTATCAGAATTATATTTGGCCCAGGGATTTAGCTCAGTGGTTCTG